CCGGCGATGGGGTGCCCTCCTCGGGCCGCGGGGTCTCGTGCTCGTGGAGCTGCGGGCTCTCGCGGGGCCGCCGGGGAAGGTCCGCGGGGCCGGGGACGCGGTCTGGGGGCGCCAGGAGGCTCTCCGAGTTCTCCAGGATCTCCTGGAGCAGCCGGCGCTTCTGGTACTCGGGACCTGCCAGCGACCACAGGGGGGCTGGATTAGAACCCCGGTGTCACCATCAGGGCCCCCGGGGAAGAAGTCTTAAGTTCCCTGGGCCTCACCCCTTTGCTCACGCGGCCCTGCCAAGCACTGTTTGGAGCAATTTGGTAGCTTCTAGGCGACCCTACGGGGTTCATGCTATTCGCATCCACCTTACAGAGGAAGGGTGGGGGGCTCGCAGAGGTTAGATCACTTGTCCAAAGTCACTTGCCCAGCAGACAAAGAGTTAGGACCAGCAGCAGGTGTCTGGCCTCAGAGTTTTTAGGCTTTTAACTGGGACCCTGGTCTCTCTTCCTTCCCTTAGCTCAAAATAAATAAATAAATAAATAAAAATAAAAAATAGGGCGGATCATGACTACTTTATAGTCATGGTACCCATGCATGGGTTGCTGGGGGGATGCATGTAAGATGCTGAGTTCACGCTGGCTGCTGCTTTGACAACCCAAGGAGGTCCAGAAGCCAGTGTCACCCTTACCGGGGCTGTGGTTGGGGTTTGGGGGAGCCCAAACTGCAACAGGAAACAATTTAAGCTGCCCGGCATGTGGCTGGCCTCTGGGTTTTGCGTTTCGCCTCCCCTGGGTGTCCTTGCTGCAGCCAGAGTGATGCTCAGAAATGCACATGTAACCACTCACCCTAACGTCCTTCAATGCCGAGAGCGTGGGGCCCAGGGTCCCTCCAGGGGCTCCCACAGCTCTAGCCAGGAGGGCCTTACTCAGCAGTCTCACTCCCACCCAGTGTGTTTTACATTCACGCTTCCAGGCGCGTGATTCTGCTCTAGGTTTGTGTGTCTGTGGCTCCAGGCGCGTGATTCTGCTCTAGGTTTGTGTGTCTGTGGCTGCTGTGGGCATCCCGGAGGACCAGTCCCACCTGGCACCGCCTGCTGCCAAAGTTCTCAAAGTGTGGCCCAGACTACCAGCAGGGCAGTGAGAGCCTCGCTAGAGTGCAGTCAAGGGCTCCGACCCAGACCCACTGAGTCAGAGACTCAGGGCGGGGGCAGGATTCTGTGTCAGCCGCTGACCCATGCGCTCTTGTTCAGTCTTCCAGAGCCAGCAACCTTCCCTAACCTCTGCGTGGCTCTGCTTCAAAGCGCCTCTCAGCAGCCTCTCAGCAGCCTCTCAGCCCTCATCACACCGTGTGGAACTTAACAGTGAAGCAACAGCCAGCAGTGTAGAGAGTCGCAGTCCACTGAGCCAGGTACGCAACCCATGCCCAGGGAAGTAGGTGTTACTCTTACTCCTGAGTCTACAGAGGTTGAAGAACTGGCCCGAGGTCTCACAGCTGGTAAGCAGTGGCGTCTCCAGACTGGCATACACAGGGCCTGTATGCTTCACCCCTGCCACGTGGTCTTCCGCTCCAGGACCCAGGATCCTAGTTTTGCGCCGCCCCACCCAGCGTCCAGCACACTGCAGTCTATGGGCAGTGTTCAGTGAACGCTTGACCAAAGGATCAGCCTTTCTGCCCCTTCACACACCAGAGGCCTCTCCCTCTCCAGGATTTATCAGCTCCAACGGTCAGCTCCCACTTGGAGCAGAAAGAAGGGGCAGCCTGGAAGAGGGTCAGTCCTCAGTGGGGACTCGGATGCCGTCACCAGTGTCAGCACAGACCCTGCCTGTGTGACTCACGTGCAAACCCACTAGGGTGTCTCAGCTTTCCAGCAAGCCAAAAAGAAGAAAGTACCCACACCCAAGCCCTCCCTTCCTCGCCCCACACAGCTGCTGCCTGCCTGTGCCTACCTGGCTGGTAGAAGTCTGGAGCCAGCTCCCTGGCCAAAGTTCTGGCAATGTTGGACTCGTGGTTGGCAGCCAGAGCAGCCTGTTCTGCTGCTTCAGCTTTGGCCTTGGCGTGGCTTGTCCTAAGGAGACAAATGGCGGAGACTCAGGATTCTTCCTGAGAAAGGGCCCTCCACCCCTCCTGAGCCAGGTACGCAACCCGTGCCCAGGGAAGTAGGCGTTACTCTTACTCGTGCTTCACAGATTGGAACCCTGACTCTACAGAGATTGACGAACTGGCCCGAGGTCTCACAGCTGGTAAGCAGTGGCGCCTCCAGACTGTACACAGGGCCTGTATGCTTCACCCCTGCCACGTGGTCTTCCGCTCCAGGACCCAGGATTCTTCCTGAGAAAGGGCCCTCCGCCCCTCCTCCCAACCCACGAGGAGATGCCTTAGAGTATTCCTGGCAATGAGTATTTTTTGACTCTGAAGGTTCAGACTTCGGTGTATTCTCCACATTATTTCCTTTTCTTTATGGACACTCAGATAGACTACATATCCCAGCTTCCCTTGCAGTTGGACGTGGTCAGGTGACTAGGCTCTGGTCAGTGCATTGTGGGAAGGTGTGGTCGATGCTGTCTCCAGGACTCCCCTGCAATCCTCTACATCCTCTCTTTCCCCGCTGCTGCTGGTTGAATGTAAAGGTGGCCTAGACCCACAAATAGAGTACTTAACCTCTGGAAAAGCCTTTGATTCCCCTCTCAGAATGTTGTAAAATGCATAAAGTATACTGGCTTGTAAAGGGATACAGTTATATTGCCACACTATTATAAAAAATATTTAAAAGAACAAATCTGTAATATAATAATGTGTATTCTTTATCAATATATTAAACAAAAAATCTAGACATTCCATTAGCTACCATGGATTAGCATAAGGGCCATTTTAAGAATATCTGCAACCATGGTGAGGTCAGGTGAAAATCAATATGATTTCTGCCTGTGACAAATTCAAAAATACTGTTCTATAGTTTACTGCCTACTTCCATCATTGAAGAAAATATTTAATTTATACTAGAGGTCAATAAAAATAAAGATGTAGTGTTCCCACCTATCTTAGATACTTCTGGTGCCTTGACTGGGCAAATAAATACCCAGCCCACGGCTGCTTATAAGCTACTGGTGGCTCAATGCTGCCCCAGAGGATCACGACCAACAGAAACCACCTTGTTCCAGACATCAAAACACTCCCGTGCCCACAACCAATGATGGAGGATGCCAGCCAGCCTCTCTTGCCACAGGAGGAACCAACTCAGTGGTGACTCAGGCTCCAGAGGCCCCGCGGGATCAGGCCAAAGCTGGACTCCAGCTAAGAACACGTCCCTGCAGGCTACGTCCCATCCCGTCCCAACTGGCATTTTATTATTTATTTATTTGTTTTGAAGTTCAATTTTTTTTTTTTTGTAATTGAGGCAACGTTGGTTTACAACACTGTGTAAGCCTCAAGAGCATAACTTCACACCTGAACAGATGTATATCTCATGTCACACCCAATACCGAAGATCTAGCTCCCCTCCATCATCATCCAATTGACCCCTTCCACTCATTTTACCCTCTTCCCTTTCCCTTTCTGTTTTCATAACTAATGGTTGTCTTAATTTTGTTTGTAATTTTGCTTTTTTCTTTATATTCCACATGAGTGAAACTGTGTGTTCCTTTCTCTTTCTGACTTATTTCACTGAGCACAAGTCCTTCAAGGTCCATCCATATTGTTGCACATGACAAAAATTTCATCCTTTTTCATAGCTGCATAATAGTCCATGGTGTGTATAGGCCACATTCACTTTATTTACTCACCCACTGATAGTCTCTTTCCCTCTATTATCTATTGAAAATAATGCTGCAGTGAACATAGGGGTACTGGTATCTTTTTGAAAACTCATCAGGATTTTAAACTAGGCAAGATGATTCCAGAATCCAAGGGACTGAGTGTGACTCTGTAGCAAGTACCTTGGTCAGCCAGGAGCTGAGGACCATTCTTGTCAACAAGATAAACCTAGTTCCTGCCCCTCACTGACAGAGAGAGGGAAACAGTAGTAAGTTTAAAAAAATAATTTAATAAAATGTCATTAAATAAAAAGTCCTGAATTGCAATTGAGAGAAGCACCATGAGGGAAATGTCTAGAATACAATGAAATGCAGATGAGACACAGGTGGGTGGTAGCGACAGTTTCCTTGAGGATGTGACACTTTAAGTGGAGACATGAAGAAACATAAATTAGACACATAAGAGACGATGCAGGCACAGAGTGAGAGCATACACTTGCAGAGATGCGAATCAACACCCTAAAACTCAGACGGTTTGCAGATCAGTGTCACCTCCATACACGAATAGATTTTTTAAAGGTGGGAACAGTGTGTCAGGCGGAGGGAGAATCATGTGCGGAGGCTGAGAGGGCTAAAGAGCTTGTAGTCTGGGAATCTGGAAGGCCGAGTCAGCATCCATGAGTACAGATGAGTCCCTTCCTCAGGGAGCCCGTGAGCAGGGGGGTTTGTATCAGTTTCAGGTATGGAACTGGGCTTGAGAGAGAGAAACTTTTTTAAGCTCCTCCCACCTGCCAGGTTCCTTACTGCCCTGATTGCTGTCAATCCTCAAAACTGCCTGGGCGGTTATTTTTGTTCTCTACTCTACAGGTGGGGAAACCGAGCCTCAGGCAGGCAGCTTGCTCCAGGAGGCAAGATGACACTTCCGCAGCGTTCACCACCTGCCAAGGGTTTTATAGAAATGAACTTGCTTAATTCTCCCAATGTGGCAAGTGTTACTACCATCACCCCTCTTTATAAAGGGGAAATCCAAGGCACAGAGGTTTCAAGCAATGACCCCCACACTCACACAGCTCACGAGGGGACAGCAAGATTTCCACGCAAGGCATTCTGCGTCTAGAATTGATTATGCCTTTAGCTACCAGCAACACCACCCCTCAGTGACACACAGTGAAGTCCAGATGCAGAACTGTCTTCTTACCTCCTAGCTCCCCCCATCCCCCAATCCTGGGTCACAACAATGCTCCATGGAGGAAAGATGCCTCCATGGAGGAAAGATGCCTCGAGGGAACACAGAAGACAGGTCACTTTGGGCAAGGAGCAGGACCCTTAAGAGCAGGGGCTGGCATCAGCAGCCCCAATTCCCTTTGAGCTTTGACCTCAGGCTCCAAATGGAGCAAGGTAAAACCCCAAAACTCAGCAAGGTAAAGCATGTTTTAATGCAACATTTTTTAAGGTCAAAATGAATGCAAAAAAAATAAATCCTTGATGAGCAAAGTTGACATAAAGACGCGATCAGCCCCTGAATGGTGTGACTCACCCCCTAGCCTCTGCGAGTCCAGACCTTACTGGCTGCAGGACCCTGGGTGGGGGCTTTGCCTCCCTGTGCCTCAGTTTCTTTAGCTGTGAATGGAGACGATCAGCCTCCCCTCTAGTGCTGTTCTGAAAGCCAGTGAAAAGCAACCAGTGCATGTTTAGGTCGGGATGGTGGTGCTGGGGATGGGGGGGCCGGAGGGAGGGGAGGGTGGCGTCACAACTGAATGTAGAGCATGTGTATCTTCTGGCTCATGCTTGCCTGTGCTAGAGAATGTGTGATTCAAAGTCCTAGACGGTCCAGAAACACAGCCTTGGAAACCTGAAACCCTGGTGGGGGTGGGGAGGAGTGGGGGGGAGGGAGGGGTCAGTGGGGCAAACCTGCAAAGTGAGGAAATGTCCTATTTTGGTAAGGGGAGCTGGACGACACTGTCTCCTGCACACCCTGGGAAGCTGAGGGTCAAGGCTTCACACGGAGCCCTGGAAGGTTCTGAAGGCCCAACTGTGTACACTCCAGAGCAGCCAGAACAGGGTCGGACAGGATGGCCTTGCCGCCCAAGGCAGTGTCCTCCCTGCCTGTCTCTGGGGACTGTTACCCCAATTCCGGAGTGGCTCAGCCGGGATCCCGGGTTTCTCCCACATCTCCTTCCTCATCTTTCAGCGCCTACCGCCAACCCCACCGCTCCGGCTCTAGTAAGCCCTCATCGCTCTTGGGCCTGCCCATCCTCCATCCTGGCACTCCTGCAAAGCCTCACTCCCACCTGCCTCCCCTTCAAGTCCCCTCCTGCAGCCGGTCCTGGACTGAGTGGCCCCATGAGTGGCTGAACCAAACATCAGCCACTGGCCTCAACTCTCCTTACAGTTTCTGCAAGGCGTCCTACTGTGCTCAAACCCGAGTCCAAAGTACTTAGCCCACCTCCAGGGCGGCCAGCGCGCTGGCCAGACATGTCAGGGTGGATCCCATCGGAGGCTGTGGAGCGAGGGGCGTTCACGCCGCCGGCCAGGCGCCTTCAGCCCGCGACACTCACAGAGGGGCACTGCGCAGCCTCTCATCACTGGGAGCCCGCTAGAGATGCAGACTTCAGGCCCCACCCCAGAACTGCGCAATCCGGTTTTCTGGGGGAGGCGGCCAGGAATCTGGGTTACGAGCGCTCCAGGTGCTTCTGCTGCTAAATGGAGTTTGAGGAGCAGGTGCATGAGAGAGAAAAGCCAGCTCGATCTTGGGCTCCTCCTCGGTGTTTCTCTTTCGGCACCAGGTCCCTTCCCTGCAGCCAGGTCACGCTGAGAAAAGCCGGGAGCCTCCTTCTGGCCACCCAGAGACGGGGCTGGCGCCTCTGGACTGTGTCCTGGGTGGCACCACCCCTGCTGGGGATAGGGGGAGGGGGAGGAGTGTCACAGGGGCAAGAGGGGCAGGGGAAGTCTGAAAGACTTCCTTCAGACTCTTTCCTTCCGCTCCCTGTTCTGCGGCAGGGGCAGGGCGATAACACGTCGGGGAGCAACCACCCCCCTCAGTCCCCGGCCTCCATCCCCCGGCCCCCCACTGCCTGGTCATAGATCACTTGGTGCCCAGTTACCTCCACCAGGCATTGATAGCTCCATGGGCCAAGGGGGACTCCTCTGGGTTTACCTAGGCTGACCCCTGCCTCTGCCGTTCCCCACCTGGACGTGAGCTTCCTCCCACCTCCCAGCCTCAAAGGGCCAGCCCAAGACCACGCCTGCCATTGACTCAGTCACTGAATACAGCCGTGTGGTGCTCTGCCAAGTGCCTGGGCACTCATGGGCATGG